GCAGGAATTCAGCTCTGGGCTAACAGTGCTTCTGATTTGCTGGGTTTATTAGGATTTATTCCCTGGGCAAGAGCTGGGTTCATTGGCTCATTCATCCATCCTCTATTTGTTCAGCCTTTGGGGGCCCCACTTAGGTGTTGGGGACACAGAGATAAAAGATATAATCCCCACTTTCTTGGAGTGCATGGGCTACAGGAGGACGTGGGCTAGTTTAGCTGCTGTCACAAAACAGTGAAATGATCAGAGTAAGAGCAGGACTGTGGGATGTCTGCTAGAAGCACCTGGTGTCATGAAGCGGGGAGAGTTGTCAGGAGGTGATTCCTGAGCTGCCTCCTGAAGGGAAGGTACGTGTTAGCCAGGTGAGGAGTGAGGGCAGCTCTCAGGCTGAGGGGTCAAGGCAGTGGTGGGAAGGGGGGAGGGGGGAGGCACCACAGGTGGGTGGCAATGGCAGGCCCCCGCCATAGTGCAGCCTGAGATGGGAAGGGGAGCAAGCTCAGAGGGGAAGGGCCACTTAAAGCAATAAAGAAGGATGAGGGCAAGCACAGGGAGATTAGCTCGGTGCTTGGTGACCACCTAGAGGGGTGGGAGGGAGACACAAGAGGGAGGGGTTATGGGGACATATGTATACGTATAGCTGATTCACTTTGTTATACAGCAGAAACTAACGCACCATTGTAGAGCAATTATACTCCAATAAAGATGTTAAAAAAACCAAATATGTCCATATAATGGAATACTATGTAGACATTAAAAATGCTGTTGTAGAAATGCCAACATGCTAACAATACATTGTTCGGGTGAAGAAAATAAGTTATAAAAATGATATGATATATTTGAAAAAAAAAAAGAAGCATGAGGGCGGACACCTTCCAGCTAGACTCTTCACCACATGACTTCCTGCGTCTTCTCAATCTTCGAGAATTCAGACATTTTTGCATTGTTAAATAAGAAGACTTTTCTCAACATTTTTCTCCAAAGACAATTAAAATGCCTCTTTCATAAAATTAGATATTGCTTCAAAGGTTTGAGGAAGAAACAGAGAACCGGCTTTGTAATGTTCTCTGTGACACATGACATTAGTGTCATTTTATTTTTGTTCCGAAATAAGCTTTCTAAAAATACAGTCAGATCATGCTGGGCTGCAGAAATATATTCACAGTAATATAGCGAGTAATTTGAATTTGACAGCTATTTCCCAAATATTTGCTTTATATTAAAAATTTTATTACATTAAATATAATCCCTTTATATTGAGTAAATCTTATAATCAGTACCTTGAGAATTCAGTTCTTTTTCTCCCTTTATTTTCTTGTATTCCATGTTATTGAGGTTGAATGTCACCAGAAGTCACTGGTAAATAGATTTTTTTGGTTTGTTTGGTTTTGGTTTTTGCTCTTAAACTTTTGAGACTTTTCGTTTCTGCAGAAATAGAGGAACAGCTACAGAACTTCTCTACTAGCTTTTGTTTTCAGCTTTTTGCCCTTTTGATTTAACAGGACATGTTTAGGAAGAAATGTCCCCGTGAAACCTAGTGCTATGTAATTATGCTTGGAGACTCATTTTGGTAATTGTGCTATTGTGATAAAGAATCCAATCCATCACATGTAAATTTCTATTCCCCTCCTGCCCATCCCACTAAGCTGTCTTCTCTTTGAATCTCCCCCCACCACCATGTGTTCAGACAGGCCACTGACTACTCCCCATGGACCTGGGGCCTCACACTGTATCTTTCAGGATGGATACTCCTAGATGTTTGGTGCCAAAAGCTACGACTTCCTCTTCCTCCCTCAGTGTCTGGAATGAGGGTCAGGTGCTAGTAGGGGCAGACAAGGCTCTTTTTCTTATACTAGTGATAGAACCCAACTCAAATCAGCTTAAACTGAACAGAAATAATTGGCTTGTATAATTGAGAAGTCCCAGGCTAGTCTCTTGGTTCAGGTAGGATCCAGGGTCTCAGTGGAGCTTGTCGGGACTCTCCCCTCCTTTTCTTGGCTGTCTCCTTTGGAATAGTGTCCAATGACTGGCATGTTCTCCCTTTATTGTTCCAAGATAGGCTCCAGGCCCATCTGCTGCCCTCTTAGCAACCCCACAAGAAAACTCATAAACATTTAATTCAATGGGTATTTCTTGTGCATCTACCATGTTCCAGAAATAATCTAGACCCTGGGATCCAGCAACGAAAAAAAACAGTCAGAAAAACCCCTTAATTTACGTCTACCGATTCTCTCTTCCACAAAAGTCCTGACAAATGTCCCCAGGGATTGTGTCTTATTGGCCTGACGCAGGTCACCGGGTCACCCCTAGAATCAGTGGTGGGGTCTGACCATGACCGGATCAATTGAGCTGAATTGGACGGAAGTTCCCCCAAGGAAAATTAATGCACTGCTGCCAGCCGGCTGAAGAACGGATGCTGCTAAGTCAGTGAAACCGACAGGCGTCCACCACCACCATGGGGCCGTTACGCACTGATTGGCTGACGGCCCGCTCGTGCTTCTGCACCTCCCTGCGTGGAGCTTCCTGGGTCAGGTGTCTCGCGGCCCCGGGGTTGCTGACACACGCTCTCTTCCTTGACACAGCTCCAGATGAGGATGAGTGAGCGGGCCGCCTCGCTGAGCACCATGGTGCCCTTGCCTCGAAGCGCCTACTGGCAGCACATCACGCGGCAGCACAGCACGGGGCAGCTCTACCGCCTGCGAGGTGAGTGCGGGTGGACTGTGTCGGGGAGGGGAGGGCTGGGGGCA